TCGGGAGAGCGATGGGACGAGGGACTTGACTTATTACACGTGACAAATTTCAAAAAGAGAAACCAGAACCATCAACGAAGAAGATTCTACTTTGTCGAGTTCATTCCTCACAGACATATAAAAGCTAATTATTTGATAAACAGCTTTTCTATCTTGAAAAAAGCCTTCAGTGGCACTTTGCTCTTCTTCCAAGAGTGTCCTGATAACCGATGCTCTGGCAACATCTCTGCAAATCTCTGACCAGAACAGTTGACCCCCCCCCCCCACCCCCCCTTTGTTGGGGTGACACATTGCCCTAAAAACATGCATACATACATACCTCGCGTTAATCATGAATGAGAAAGAATAAAGTCTGAAAAAAAGACCCCACAGAGGGGTTGGGTCCAACAAAGCCAACATTGATTTAATTAAAGTCAATTTCTGCACCAAACAATGTTCTGCAATACCTCTCCTTCAAAACCCAGGGGTTGGGGGGTGGGGGAGCTGCAATACCTCATCCTGGAGAAACGATGGGTGGCACATTCCTTCATTACCACGACGCATCGCAGATCTGCTGCCCCAAATACCAGAACCGAATGTGGATGAATGCAACGCCGAAAACAAATGCAATTGACATTGAGTAACTTCTGAAACTACAGCCCTTTATTATAGTGTGTTTGTCAATGTTGAAAAAAGTAGAAAGTATAAAATCCTCAACAGATCTCACAAGAATCTACCTATTTGTGGAAAAAGAATGTAACTTGTTTTTTTCTAGGCATAATAATAACATTTTTGTGAAAGTATTCATGACAAAAATCGTTAAAATATATAATATAATAATAAAAATATATAATAACTTGAAAATATATGGCACAAAAGAAAAGCCTGACATTTGAAGCTTAAATAAAGTAGTGGATGCCTGTTAAACAGCTCAAGATGGTTAAACCTTCCTACCAACTGTTCATTGGCTTTTGTCGGGTATTACTCTTGTGTTGAACGCTGAGCGAGTTATTTCATAGGAGACATTCTGACGGCTCATCTCGCCTCATACAGACGCATGCTGTGACGTCAGGCTGGTGAAGGAAGGACGCGACAGCGAACTCAGAGGAAGACCATGATAAGAAGTGTCAGAAGTGCCTCAGAAGAACTGAGGCGATGATGCCCAAATGAAGCCATTCAAAGAAGCATTTTCACTTAAAGTTAAATGTACGTATGTTAGTACCTTCCGTATGTACACTGTACACACAACAGTGTTTTAGTCACTTTATTGGGAGTATTGATTTGCCAGCTGTTCCTGATAGCCAGACATTCTAACCATGAAACCATGAAAAGCAAGATAACAAGAGATGAGAGAGTTTGGTAGGAAATAGTATTATTGTGGCAGTCACATTAATGAACAGTACTGAATGCGCAGGCAATTAATTACTGCTTGCATCATCACTAAAGGAAAAAGTGTTTAATTATTTTTTGATGCACTCTGGTGCACTCGGCGAGCCTCGTGGAGTGTGGGTCAGGCTGACAAAATGGAAGCTGGCAGGGAGACCAACTACACGGTGGGTTCCACTGCCTAATGGCATTGTACTGGCCAGGGCAGATGGTGTTCCTTGACAGTGGAGATGAACCGAGGTCTGCAGACAGAGGTGACCCCGCTTCGTTTGAAAAGGTTTCTCCCTTTCCCCCCCCCCCCGAATGATCAATGCCTGCAGAAGCTGGACGCGGAACATAACACGGCACATACGGAGGATCTTTCTTAAAACGATTACAAGCTGCTTCATGGCAGAAAAACTCCTCTGAAGGAGACGGTAGGCACGCTTCTCAGACCACTCAGGACGATTGACTGTTCTCTCTACTTTCAGGAAGAATGTTTTTCAGGGTTTTATATTTTGTTTATTGTATTTCTGTACCACGGAGGTCCTTTGTAATAAAGCTTTATGTGGACAGTGAGAGAGGAGACGTCATGCAACAAAGGAACTTGGATTCAGCCCATTGCGGCCATCAGTAGCCAAAAGAAAAGAAAAACCGTGGCTTTGTACACTTCTACAAAACCCAGATTTCCATGATAGTGTTTCAGCCTCTTGTGCTGCTTTGCTTCAGCACTATGGACACCCACCAGTTGCTATGACGTCCACCTCAGTATTCTGCCGTTTGGACAGGAAATTGTATTCAGGAAATGATGTTTGTGTTGAGTTACCTGACAAAAACATTAATCTTGACAAGGAGCCACCGACCCGCCTGATGGGTCACCTGTATGTAGTGTGGACAATGTAGTGGTTTAGCAAAAGAATACTGTGGTTTGCATTGAAATACTTCATTTTACGAGGCGAAGGTTAAACTTAACATTGCAAACACAAGGACACCGAGACGTCGTCGGTTTGACAAAGGACATAAACGCCAGGCTCAAGGTAATTGGACCCATCCGCCCTTCTCTCCTGTGTTTATGCACCTTTAACTAATTCTTGTAACATCTTCTCCAACCTACAAATAAGTGTTGTGCACATTCCTCAATGCTCATTGTAAAAACAGGAAGGTATGAACACGGTGCAGAGGTGGGTCAACGTGTCATACCAAAGGATCTGCACCTGCAATGTAAGGACAACGTAGAGCATTTGAGTGGGTATGCGTTGGGGGGGGGGAGCCTCACGGGCATCATGGCAGCAGGTCCCCGATCTGTGGAGCCTCGTTGGGGTTTGGAGGATGATTCAGAGCAGGAAGACAACGTGGAAGAAACTGATCACAGCTTCCAATGCAGAGACACACACTAAAGCATCAGTAATTATATCATCAGTGATTCGGTTCTAAGTGGTAAATGTTGAGTTAATATTGTGAATTATTTCTTCTGATTAACATTAAGGCATGATATCTATTATGTGGTAGTTTGTGAACTTTCCAGGACAGTATTACTATATATTTACACGATCGTCTGTTTTCTGAAACGTTTAAATGAAGCATAATCTTTCCAATAGTCTGAAAAAGTCACATTGTGGAAACGAAATAGACCATAATCTAAACGGTCCGGTGGATGAAAAACGATCTTATTGCTGTTGTCAGTGTTGGGCCTTAAATAATGTTTAAGCTTCGGGTTTTGTGAATCGAGTGTTGATACTGATTCTGTCTAATAATGTACAATGTAGAACAGCTGCCAGGGGTCCCTGTCAATTAAACATCAGCATCCGAGATATAAACGGTTTGAACAAGCAACAGCTGCTTCTGTTTTCTTCTTCAGAACAAGCTTAAGGGTTGAGGCAGCGAGCGGTGATCTTCTCTGGTTTAAACAAGCTCAAACTCAAACGAAAGGCCAATCAGATCCACGTGTGGCGCTCTGCGACGGGCAAGAAGTCCTCAGATGGGTTTTATTTTCAGAACTAAAGACACATGAACAATTACAATTCATTATATTTTTTTTCAAATATATTTAATTGTGGTTTTTCATTGGCCCAAAACGTTATCATTTGATTCTGTTTAGATTGAACCTGCATGGTAACATTCACAATAAACTCGTTTTATTATCCGATCTTCAGATTAACGTGTGACCCGCATGTTGAAGACGACCTCATCACTGTGTGTGTTAAGACTTTCCCTCCCGTCTCCGGTAGAGCTCCTTATGTTCTGGGACGATTGGCCTCGTTTGTTGTTTTGTCTGGTTTGTCTTTGAACGGGGAATAAAATCACCTGTTTGGACGAGACCTGCTGTGTGAGCGAGCATCACCTGACCGACCGGACCACACAGACGCCCAACACGGACAGAGGACGGAGGAAGTTAAAGGGTGTAGTTGACGGCTTGGAAACATAATGAGGTGCATATTACATTTAAGGAGATTCCAAAGAAAAAGAGCTTCAAAATAACCAAATACAGCATCTAAGACGCTGCTTTTTGCATCTGTTGGCACAGATGAGACTATTGCTTAGATGTATATTACAGAACTGTTTCTGGTGTGTGTGTGTGTGTGTGTGTGTGTGTGTAGCTGGAGTCTTTGCACATTTTGTGCACACCGCTCACATTCATACCTTTCTTTAGTTTTTCAGATGAAAATGTAGATGTTGCCGTTAAATAATTGGCCTTATTGATTGACATTTTAATTAGATTCATAAATCATTCATTGGTGTGATGGATTGTGGATTTTGACCTCCGTCCGTGACTTTAAAATCACTTTGAAAGGGTTCTTGTTGCAGACAGTTTGGACAAGAGGAGCGACGCTGTTGTCGGTCATGTGATCTAAACGCTGTGGTTTGAGTCCCGTGGGGAATATTTCTGTCATTCCTTATTAGTCAGCCCTTATTTCCTGCCACTTCTCTATTGTCCCAGTTTAAAATAAAAGCCTGGATGCTTGAATACGATTCCGTATGATATGCTTCAAATGAGATTGGTGCAGAGAAGACGCACCTTCTTAGAGAAGCCAGAGTTACAACATCATGTTGGTTCCCTCTGTGGAGCGTAAACGGGGGCGAGAATGACTGCATCACGCTGAAGGAGGCCCAGTACTGATGATTACAGTAATTACCGAGGACCTGTCTTACTAACCCTCCAAATCTTTTAAGTGTGTGTTAACCACGGACCCCCAGTTCAGACAAAAAAACACGACTTTTCCTCAAAACAAAAATAACAACACTGGTAACAACTGAGAAAAGAAAAGATTTATATCGAAAAAAAATAATTGTGTTCAGATTCCTCCTAAGCCACAAGTTACAATTAGATATTGCTAAAAGTCTCATGGTAATATAAAATGTATGCATGTTGAAAGAGTGCATGTATAATTCTCTTTAATCCCACTAAAAACACCTGTTTGAGTTCTCTGACTGTAACATGCAAATGAAATGAACCAATAACATTGAACCCCAAAGTGAAGACAAGTAGCGGCGCCTTGGTGTCCTACTTCCTCTCCTAATGTCTCCATGCTGGACTGTCCCTCCCTGGACCCGGACACGCCCACACTTCATAAGCACTTTCCCCATAATACACCACGTTGTGATCCTATTCCGCGCGCGCGTGTTTTAGTGGGCGGCCTTTAACGCGCAGGAAGGAACCTTCACCTCCTTTGTCCCCCCCGCGCGCGTCATTGAGAGAATAATAAAAACCCGGCGTGATCTTTGCAAACATTTAGTTTCTGACCCCCGAAAAGTGCCTCGAACATTGTAGAACGCGGCGGCGGCGGCGGCGCGCGCGCGGCCGGCGCGCTGATCCACGACGCTTGACGTCTCTGCGGTGGCGCAGACGAAGCCCGCCGCCCGGCTGCTGCTGACAGACGCGAGCTCAGCCGAGCAGTCGACACTCAGTCCTGCAGGGAGGGAGGAAGGGCTGCGAAACGCACCACCCGAGCAACGACGCGCTGCGGCTCCACAGCATGCTCCACCTCGCGCAGTCTTCCGTTAAACCCACGCGCCCAGCAGCGGTTTGATTTGGCATCTTCTGGGGAGGGGGGGGAACATTCGCGACTTGCCTCTTTTCTGCGGAGGAGAACGCCGCTCTACCGGGATGATGTGGACCTCTCGCGACTCGGTTGGATTTGTTTTCTTCGCCGGGGTCTGCGTGCAGTTGGGATCCTCATTTGAAGGTGAGGAAACGCCGATTTGGGCAGAAACGCGGCGTCGTGTCGGGGGGGTCGGTTTCAGAGACGCCGGTACAAAGTGCCCAAAGTGCGCAGTCTCTCTAGACGAGGACAGCAGGCGGTTTGGAGACACGCATTCGAAGTGAGGCGGACTGTTATGCAACCAGAGAGACGGGAAGACAAATATCACTAAATGAAGACGGTTGAACAAATGCAACTGGTGATTGTTTGGAATCAAGTCACTTCGTCCCGCGCGGAGGACAGTCGGTCCTCTGTTCTAATGCAGCAAATAGATGAAAGAAATGCAACTTATTTGGAGAGGCTGCGTGCACGCAGACGGAGTGAAGGAGTCCAGCACCGCGGACAGCCGCGCTCATTCCGCGCTCATGCCGCTGTCCGCGGTGCTGGAAGCGCTGAGATTTCTACTTTCAACCCGCCTCAGTGCACTTCCAACCCCCCACAACATTTGTCCAGCGCGCTCCAACCTGTAGGCAACCGGAACCGGGAGGGCTGGTTCGGGAGGAAGTTTGCATGCGCCACCACTCTCCCTTGGGCCGCGTTCCCTTTATTAGCCCACATTATGCGCTCCGCATGCTTCCTTTGCTTTACATCATTCTCCAACAGTTCTATTCCGCATCTCTTTGCGGACATATAGTGCGCACAGGGGAGCCAGATTCAAGGAGCAAGCGTCCGATGTGCGTGGTGCGGCTGTGCGTCATGTGCGCATATGCTTCGGTAACACAATCTGCGGTTATGTATGACTGCATTCCCAAACTGACATCTAAGTGGGTTCACGCACCATAAGAGCTCTTCTGTCCACGTGCAGGTCGCTTCACGGACATGCCCTCCAACATGACGGTTAAAGAGGGACAGAACATAGAAATGGCGTGCGCCTTCCAGAGCGGAACCGCGTCCGTGTACTTGGAGATCCAGTGGTGGTTCGTTAAAGCGCCGGAACCAAGCGACGGCGAGGAGGAGGTCAATGCTGAAGAGGTACAATGGACCCTCTCTCTCCCTCCCCCCCCCCCTCCACCCCCCCTCTCTCTCTCTCCCTCCCTCTCTCTGGTTAAATCACAACCAAAGAGAAAAGGACATGCAACTATCCGAGCTAGTATAATATTTATTATTTTCTTTCTTTATGCTTTTCCTGAGGATTTTTTAATGTTTTTAGCAGTGAACCGTTGTAATAATCGGACTATGAACGACATGTGCACAAACTCCTCTGTAAACACATTGGGAATATAGATTGTAGTTGTACTGCCGTGTTTGGAGTTTGCAGAAAAGATTTAGATGAAATTGGTTTATTGGACGTTTTCTATGGTTTCATGTATTTAAGCGCGTTACATATTTAAAATGACTGTTTGATCGAATGTTGTGTTGAAATAAGGGAGGTGTTTTCTGATACACTAACCCGGAGGACTGCGTGTTATGAGCTCTGCCTGAGACGTGTTCAATGTGAACATTCGACGTTGTCATCAGGCCTTTGCTCCCGTCCACAATGTGGTCGTGCAACTTCAATTCCCCTTTCTCCACATTTGATTTGGGCTTATTTCCCTCGAACAGTTGATGCAGGGACAAGTCCTATCAAGCAAAAAACACCACATTAATCAAGGCGACTACTGAAGGAAACCGTGAGCTCCTTCTGGACATTAATCACATGATACATGAGATAAATGAGGCTGACGCTTCATGAATGGATGAAAAAAAAAGTGTCTGAATCCATACAGCCGAGGCATATTCTTGTATATTGCCTCAGTTAACAGTACGTTGGAAGCTCGTTTGCTTCCCCTGATGAGTACTGCTCCCTTTGCCCCAGTGAGGACCTCCTACCACGAGGACGAGCGCGTCTCAACGCGTTCACAATAGTCTGAATGTGCACCTCGCGGTTTGGAGGGTGCTGCTGTGTTGTCGAGGCCGACATCAAACGCCGCTTCTTTTTTTTCTATTTCTATGACGGCGAAGAGGAAGAGGACGCGTGTGACAGGGGGAAGGCTCCGTATCCATGTGGCTTTCATTATTGTCCCATTGTTGCTGAGCTTTCATCGTGGCGCCGGCCGGGCTTTGATGTGGGTTTGATCCCACGTGACTCTTGCATGTCGGGGCTATTGATGCAGACATCTCATTGTTACCCGCGTTTCTTATCACAGAAGGCCGTTTGAAAATGAAAGCGATGCGTGCGTGTGTGTGTGTGTGTGTGTGTGTGTGTGTGTGTGTGTGTGTGTGTGTGTGTGTGTGTGTGCGTCGTGAATGGCAGCAGAGTCACGGCCGTGTCCGGAATGTGGATGGGGAGTCCGCTCGGCTCGGGGAAATTAGGGGAAATTAGCGCAATTCGTTCTAATATGTTTGCAAATATAAGCTGCATTGCACAGAAAATAAAAAGATTAGTTTGATCTGCAAAAAGGTGAAAACGCCACCGAAGGAGGCAGCTGAGTGCGGAATGTTCCTTCACACATGAACCTGTCGGGTCCTGGAGTCCATGTTTGCACCTTCAAAGGTTTCGTATTCAATGTCAGTCATTTATACCATTTTCTAACAGCACAGTCACATGTTGGAATATTCTGCAATGCAGCGGATGTGAATGTGGATCTTCTATTAAATTCATTAACAACACGTTTGCCTTGTTTTGAGCTGTAACTTAAATTGAATCATTTCCTTTTTTTTAATCCCATGACATTATCTTGTGTGTGTATTCCATTAATACCAAAGTCTTATCAATAATCTACTGAATTCATTTCTGAAATAGTCCATTCCAAAGCATTCAAATTTATTTTTTCTGCTACAACCTTAATTGGGTAAAAAATTGGAGGGATCATTTTGTATTATTCATTTTTAATTTTTTTTATTTTTATACTTTTATACTTATTTTTATGTAAAGACGTACAAAAAGAGAAAAATTACAAACCAAAATCTCATGTGAGTACGCACAGTGGAATAAGTGGAAATAAACATTCATTTGAACTTTGCCTAAAGATGTCAGTGTTACTGTTCATACCTGAACACCTCACAGGTTGATAAAGAATTGACACTTCAGCCAACATCTCAATATATGAGATCGTTAAATGTCATGAAGACATGAACATTATCAGTAGTCAGCAAGAGATTTATGTGAAAACATTGTCAATTCAACATTCTAATTCTAATCATTTGGTTCGATTCATGTGCAGCCGCTAGAACAACGTTGATAAAGTTGATAAAATGGGGCAAAAGAGTTAAAAAAGAGTTAAATCAGCAAAAGTGAATTATCTGAAGGCTCAACAGAAATGCTAAAGAATATAAGAAGATCACCTCGTCATGTTGGTCATTAGAGAGAGACACAGAGCAGCTAAATGATTCTCCTCTCACACTACAAATGACACACTGCAAGTCACAATTATGCACAAAGACGGAAAAACGAAACACGCACACCTCTCCGTGACAAAGAGGATCCATGTTGCTCCACTTGTGATTCTGTTGATTTTGAGTGGTGGAGTGAAGATACACGGAGAGGAGGAGTGTGATGAAGGAGACAAGCGTGTTGTGGAAGCGACGGGTCATCACTCCACCGCATTTTGTCTGCGGTTGTTTTGAGTGCAAAATGAGTCAGCATGGGACGCCATCACACATGATTACCTAGAGGGATTTGATATTTCTGCTTGGCTCTGTCTGTATTATCACATAAACAGTAGCTCTAAAAGGGAAGAATGTAATTTCTACAATCCAATATTAAATTATGAGCAGCAAAACTAATGTTTTGGAAGGCTCGTATTGTGCCTCTGTCATTTAAAAAGCATTTTCTTAACAAAGGGTTCTTCCTCCATTGGAACTGCAGGATACACTTTTAAAATCATCTCTCTTGGGTTGGAGACAAAGAGAAAGAGAAAGGGAGAAGGTGAGTGGTGGGGATGGGGATAATAGTGGTGAGAATGGTGATGATGTTGGTGATGGGGAGGATGGTGGTGAGGATGGTGGTAATGGTGATGATGTTGGTGATGGGGAGGATGGTGGGGAGGATGGTTGTAATGGTGGTGATGGTGGTGATGAGGAGGGTGGTGGTGATGTTGGTGATGGGGATGGTGGTGAGGATGGTGATGATGTTGGTGATGGGGAGGGTGGTGGTGATGTTGGTGATGGGGATGGTGGTGAGGATGGTGATGATGTTGGTGATGGGGAGGGTGGTGGTGATGTTGGTGATGGGGATGGTGGTGAGGATGGTGATGATGTTGGTGGTGGGGAGGATGGTGGTGACGGGGATGGGAGCAGTTGGTGCTGCCCCCATCCCCCCCGGACAGCATTCATAGGTTGAACGTAACAGCAGCGCGGCTCTTTGGTAGACGGGACGGCAGCTTTGAAAGGTGCTTCTAAGCTACGTTTCTTTTCTCCTTTTTCAGGAGCGATCCTTAATGAAATGAAAGGAGATAATGGCGACCCACAATCCCTTGCTGCAGCGACATTTAAAACAGTTCACCATTTGGCCTCATTCACTATTCATGTGTACGCTACGGATCGATGGCAAACACACTTCCTAGGAGGGATGATGCTTTGGACCAAAATACTCTCTTTAGTTGTACAGCACTGAGCAATGCGTTTCAAAAGGTAATTGCCCCCCAAAATAAAACAATTCTTGTTTGTAAAGTATATTTTAACATTTTCAATTGAAGGCTATGTTGCTTTCATCTGGCTTGTCATTCCACTTATTGTGGTGGTATGTTCAGTGGTTCCAGATCGTTCTACTGCCTTGGTAGCTTGGTTCTCCATTCGTCGTCTGGGGAGTACGGACAGTCGAAGCGGCGCAGGCTTTGGTGGACTGCAGGCCAACAGCCACGGAGGATGAAGGAATTAGCTGGTTGATAACATGGCCTGTAAAGTGGCTTCTGGTCCAACAAAGTGACTGTATGTGGGATGTCTGATCTCCAACTCCTCCTTTGCCTTCCCTGGGTCAGTAAACACTGAGGACCATCCGATAGCTGGCGCATCGTGACCTGGTGACCCGTGAAGGTGGTGCTGCGTGTACACGCGTCCCCATCCACCAAACTGTGATCCTTCTGATGCGTCATCACTGATGCTTTGTGTCGTATGAATAAATGATAAGCAACATGCGAGATGAAGTATCCAACTTCCAAAAGAGAAATTAAAAAGTAAATAAGTCCCAAAAGATAAACACAAATCCCATCTTGTGACCGGACCACCAGGTTGGGTATCGCCGTCCCCATGAATAATAAACCTCTCTTCCATGGTGCAAAGGACGGGTACCAAGGTGTCACTGTCAGAACGGTTCTAATAGTTCTAAAAGTAGAGGGGTAGATATCGGAGTTCAGAGTGCGTATGGAATGTTCCTCTGAGACTTCTCTGGTGGTCTCAGCGACTTTCTTATTCAACAATAAATAATCTGCAGCAGAATTCAAAATAATGAGCGATTAAAGGAATATATTTCCATAGGTTAGGTCAATTAAGTAATTGCATTGTAATGTGGATTTATTTATCTATCTATCTATCAGTAATTTATCGATCAATAATCAGGAATCAGGAACATTTAATACCAAAATGTGTTTGACATACAAGGAATTTGACAAGGCGTTTGGTGCGGGACATCAGACAGTAAGACAATGGACAACAAGACAGATAAGACAACATGGAGCAAGAAAATGGCAAAAATGTTCAATTTACAAACTTCTAATTTCACTCTACGGTATAAAATAAAATATAAGGCTACGGGGATATAGAATAAACAATTTAAAAATAAAGGATAATAATAATCTAAGTGTCCCTGAGAAAGACAAGTGGTCCACAAGGACTTTCTGTACAAGGTTTTTCTAGTCCACGTTTGTTCTTATTTTCCTTTGCTGAATCTCTTTCCGATGTGCCGTAACAACTAGATTCAAACCTCCCACGTGTTGGTGTCGCATTGCTTCTTATTGCATTCGTGTTCGTTCATGCGTGCGTGCGAATGTTTGTTTGCAGCCAACGCTGCACACAAGTGGACGCGTCAGCAAGATTCCCTTCATGACTGTATGCAT